ACCCGTTGGTTCGATGTGAAAACAGCATTTCTGTACGGAGATCTTCAGGAGGAAATTTATCTGAAGCAGCCTCCCGGATACAAGGACCAGAATCGACCAGATGCTGTTTTAAGGCTACATAGAAGCCTTTACGGGCTGAAGCAGTCACCGAGATGCTGGAACGAAAATCGAATGCCCAAGATTTGCCAATCAGGTTACATAAACAACATTTTGAGAAACTTTAACATGCACGATGCGAATTTATCAAGAGTACCTGCAGAGCCGGGCTCGGTTTTACAAAAGCAGAAAACTGAGTCCAACTTTCCCATACCGTATCGAGAAGCAATAGGCTCCCTCCTTACTGTTTGCTGCACGAGTAAGTCGTCCCGATATCGAGTTTGCCGTAAATTATGCAAGTCAATTCTTAAGTTGCTCTGATGAAAGCCATTGGCGAGCTGTCAAGAAAAATATGCGTCATCTGAAGGGTACACGCGATTTTGGGATAGTTTACGGAAACAGTGGGAGTTCGATAAACACGATCGGATATACAAATGCTGACTATGCCGGATGCATAGAAACCCGATGATCTAGAAGCGGTTTTGTTTTCACCTTGTACGGTGCGCCAATATCGTGGTCTAGCCCAATGCAAAAAGTTGTTGCAGTGTCAACAGCTGACTCCGAATACGTAGCATTATTTCATGGTGTGAAAGAAGCTGTTTGGTTGCGCCGAATTCTGAATGAATTGGATGTTCAATGCAAAATCATATCCGTATATGTTATTAACCAGGCAGCCATGAAGATTTCGGGAAATACGACCGATCATAAGCGCTCGAAACATATCAACGTAAAGTTTCATTTTACACGGGGTGCTGCTGATCGCGGCGAAGTAGAAATTAAGTATGTATCGACCAAAGAGCAATTAGCAATATTTTTACTAAGCGTTTCCCAAAGCAACAATTTATGTACCTAAGAGGAAAATTGAATATTATCGACATTAAAACTAAGTGGGAGTGTTGAATAAAATATGTTATTTTTAATGTCTTAGTATAAGTTAGGTATAGCTTTCCCAAATGTGTTGCATGTGTTTGGGTCCTCAGGTAGCATCATATGTTTAGGGATGCACTGACCGCTGCGACGTTGTAGTTTTTAGTAAAGTGACAACTTCCGGGAAAGTAACTGCGTTTACTTGGTCGGCACGATATTCAAACGTTTTTTTTTTGTCTTTTGTTATTATCACGTTCAATAAACATTTATTATCATTACTCTGTGTGATCAATTGAGTACCTCAGAAGAAACTCAATAAAGAGATCTGTAAAATCGAAGGATTCTTTTAACTTCACTATCCGAGCTACGATTCTAG